GTCGTTCCCACCCCCGGGCTCCGGTCCAGCTCCCACCGTCTCGTCAGGCTCCATGCGGATTTTGAAGGTCTGCTGCTGCAGCGTTTTGAGCGTGATGGTGACGGCCATGGCGGGGCCGGAGCGACGCGGCGGCCCCGGGATCCTCACACAACATGCAACTCACGCCGCCGCCATCTTAGCGCCCAGCCGCGCCGCGAGGCGACCGCTTCCGGGGCAGGCGGTGCGCGCGCCGACCACCAGGCACGTGACCTGCGCGCGCCACCTTAGCCTTGGTGGGCATGCGCAAGAGGGAGGCCTTTGACCAGGCATGCGCAGACTAAACTAGTCGCCCGGAGGCAGCTTCTCCTTCAACACGTGTACACATCACGTGGCTTCCTGAGTGACGCCATGCCCGTTAGCGGTGACGTCGTACGGCCACAAAATGGCTCCGACATGCCCCCTTTCATGCCCTTAAGAGTTTCTGTTGATTACATTGAACAAAATTTTTCATGTACTTGTAGATATTTGTATTTTTTGGTTTCATTTTTTTTGTTTACCAAATGAGTTTTGTTCTGGTGTGGCCACTCTCATGGGAACCCTTACTCAAGATTGGAAAAGATACTCAAAAGGTCACCAACAATTAATTAAAAAAATGAAAATTCTAAAAACCACATTTGGCCGTGGAAGGAGGGCTAGGGGGCCAACTTGCGACCTCATTCATTCCTGAGGGAGAACTGGATTTCTGGAATGAACGTAGAGTAGTAGCTCCTGGGTGTCCCACCTCTCTGCTGCTCCTACCCCAACCACTGTGTTCACCCCACTATCCCCAGTCTGACCCCAGAAGTATTTAAGGAAACGGTCACCCTTCAAGGCCTCCCTACATTGAATACAGAATTCTCTCCATAAACTTCCCTGGATGCACCAATTCAATTGGAGGCTACCCAGAGGGGTGGAACTGGGCCACAGGACACAGGTGGGAAGCATGAAGGCCCATCCACAAAACAAGGAATTGAAGGATTAGTTGGCCAAAGATGAAGATGGTGCTTTGGGGGACTGGATGGAGGCAAGGCTGAGAGTATCTCCCAGTTACTGGGTGGTGGTCCTCCCATCCTGAACTGACCATTACCTGCCTCCAAACCTGCTCTTTAGTTTCCATTCAAGCACTCAACTCAAGCCCAGAACCAGGCAGTTACCTGACACCTCACCCATTGCCCAACTGTAACCAGGGTCCTGTTGTTTCCCTTCAGCGCAGGCAGAGCCTAGACGTTTCCACCACAGGCCAGGCTGTTGAGGGCTTCTTGCCTCTCTCCTGCAACAAGGGATATGAGCTCCAGACCACCTACTGAACTTCAGGGGCAGCCTCATGGACCCCAAGAGATGGGCTAAGCCTCAGGGGCCCTAGACCTTGTTGGTCTATCATCTCTGCACCCTCCTTGGGGCCATCTCTTTCCCTCTAAGAATTCAAAGACCACCAACAGTGCTATTTACCATCTCTGTGCCTATGTTATTATAGAAGGAATAGCTTCTAATACGGACTAGTATTAAAAAAAGTTTAGGGGCACCTGGGTGGCTCAGTCGTTAAATGTCTGCCTTTAGCTTGGGTCATGATCCCGGAGTTCTGGGATCGAGCCCCGCATCGGGCTCCCTGCTCGGCAGGAGGCCTGCTTCTCCCTCTCACATTCCCCCTGCTTGTGTTCCCTGCTCACAGTCTCTGTCAAATAATATCTTAAAAAAAAAAAATGGAAACGTTTAAAATGGTCCAATCGTTCTATGTAATCTTGCTCATTAACAGTTAAGAGGTAGATATGGTTGAGTGTAAAATGGATGGCATGAAATGGTGCCACCGTGTGGGTTCAGAGCCCTGCCCTACTCCTTAAATTCAGGAGCTCAACCTCCTCATCAAACTGAACAGGAACTAGAAACAAAACTCACCAGTTTGGTGCAAAGACTCAATGAGTTAATATAAAGAGTATTTGTAATGGCACTTAGAACCATCACTCTTCTCTCACTGGTTTGAGGTTGTGGGGGTAAACAACAGGCCCTGGAACCTTATGAGACATTCAACCAACACTTTAGCCGCTGGAAAATGAGCCTTACTCGAGAGTCACCTCCCCCAGAAGGAGACACAGGAGGAAGACACAAAACTTAATTTAATAGAAATTTCGTTTGTAGTTCTTACATTCTCAGTGTGAGCCAAGCTGGAACCCACTGCCCCACCCAGAAGTGGCCCAGTCCTGGGAGCAGGGGAAAAAGGGAGGTGGTGGGTGGGGGTCAGAGCTCAGGCCCTAGGAGCCCTCTTCTTCCTCAGTGCTGGGGGCTGGGGATGCCACCCTCTTCTCCGGCCCCCCTCTGGGATCCAGGAAGGAAAGCAGATGGAATCTTGGGCCTGGGGCTTCTCTTCCACACTCCCCTGCCCCCTCAGGTTGGAGGGGAACTAAGGGATCTGGGGAGAAAAAGGGACAGAGGAAGGCAAAGATGTCAATCAAGAAAGAGGTGGTCAGGAATAAGGACTAAAAGAGAATCAAAGACAAAACACCAGTTTAGAAAAAGAAAAAAAAAAAAGGAGGGGAGGAAACAAAACCAAAATCCACCCCAAATCAGAACCCGCCTGGAAAAAAATGAAAAGTTCTCCAGTCTCATAGAGACATTATTTGGCGCAGCCGGCTCTGCGGCGGGAGCGCTCAGGCCTCAGTCCAGCCCTAGAGGCAGTGGCATGGCCCCTACAGCTCATCCTTGGCCTGGCCAGCGGCAGCATCTTCCTCCTCCTCTTCCTCCTTGTCATCCTCGTCCTCCTCATCTTCGTCCTTGTCTTCCTCATCGTCCTTGTCTGCCTCCTCCTCTTCCTTGCGCTTCTTGTCCTCCTCCTCCTCCTTTAGCCTCTGCTCCTCGTCCTGCTTGTCCTTCATCTGCTTTTCGGCCGCCTGCACACAGACCACACACCTCAGGGACTGGCCCCCACCCACCACACCTGCCTACCCACCAAGCCCAGGACCAGACCCTGGTCCCACCTTTGTGACACCCCAGGTCTCGTTTCCAAACTCCTCTGCATATGCCTCATCGTTGGTGATGAGGAAGTTGTCAAAGATGGTGCCAGACTTGACCTGGGGGCAGGAGGATGGATGGAGAGGTGGTCAGAGTGGACATCAGATGTCCCTGGCCTTGGACAAGCCCCCCCCCAATGTTCCCATGACAACTACACAATGCCCTTTGATTTCTTCATCTGTAAAATAGGGTCTCTCTCGGTCTCTTCAAATATTTTCCTAGTACCCACTACATGCGAGGCACCATTCTAGGCAGAAAATGTTTATCAGTGAATAAAACTAAAATTAGGTTCCTCCGAAATGGAATTTTTTTTTTTAATTTTTTCTAGTAGTTACATTATTATTTTTTTTTTTCCAGTAGGCTCTACTCCCAATGTGGGGCTTGAACTCATGCCTGTGAGATCAAAATTTGCATACTCTACCGAGTCAAACAAGTACCCCTAAAACTAATTTTCTAACAAGGTTATCTAACCAACTTCTAGCTGTTAAGGGCAGTTAAATACGTTTGTTTGCATAAAGGAACTTATTAGAAAAGTATCTGGCACATAATAAGCAAAACCTCAAAGTGGGTGCTGGGAGAACTCCATGAACACAGACCAGGAAATTCTTCAGGAAAAGCACCAGTTTGGGCTCAGATCTGCCTGGGGTTGAATGCTACTACCCCTTTCTCTTCCTAGATGACCCTGAACATTTGAAGTACTCCAGGAATCCCCTCTATGTCTCACCTGCCAGAGATCTAAGCCCAGAACAGCAAAGTTTTCATAGGCATAGATGTTGCTATCAGGGGAGTACTCAGGGTTGTCAATCTCTGGGTGGATCCAAGTGCCCTTGTAATCTGGGTTGTCGATCTGCCGGGGCTTCCACTCGCCCTGCAGAAGGGGAAGGGAACCAGTAGTTGAGTGGAGGTCAGTGTGCTCCCCACTGTGCACCCCCCACCCTGCTCAGAGCCCCAGGCTCACCTTGTACTCAGGGTTCTGAATCACAGGTGGTTCCCACTCTCCATCCATCTCTTCATCCCAGTCCTCTGGCTTTTTGGCATCGGGGTCAGGGATGTGCTCAGGCTTGTCCCAGTCCTGAGGGTACACAAAAAGGTCAGGCAACCCAGCTGTCCTTCTGCACCCTCCATGTGGGGAGCCTCTGCCCAAGCACCAACCTCAGGCTTAGAGTCTGTGGGGTCATCAATCTTGGCCCGCTCATCCCAGTCTTCAGGCTTCGAAGCATCAGGATCCTTTATCTTCTTGGGAGGGAGGAAGTCCCAATCATCCTCCAAGGAGCCTGATTCCACCTGGCTGTTGTCAATCTTCACCTCATAGGTGTTATCCGGCCGGACAATCAGGGTATACAGATGTGTGAATTCATCATCCTGAAGAGGGTGGGAGATGAGTGGCCCCACCCACCAGGCTGGCCTCTGAGACTCCCCTATCAGCCATTTGTCACCACCCCCAGTCACACCTTGCAACGAATGTCCTTGTTGATCAGCACGTTCTTGCCCTTGTAGTTGAAGATGACGTGAACCTTCTTGGTGCCGGGGCCACAGATATCGGGGCCTAGGTGAAAAGCAGATTCAGTTAGAGCAAGAAGCTGCCTGCCATTGCAAAGCTCCCCTTCACAAAGGAAGACTTGGTTCTTTTTTTTTTTTTTTTTTTTTAAGATTTTATTTATTTATTTGAGAGAGAGAGAATGAGAGACAGACAGCATGAGAGGGAGGAGGGTCAGAGGGAGAAGCAGACTCCCCGCTGAGCAGGGAGCCCGATGCGGGACTCGATCCTGGGACTCCAGGATCATGACCTGAGCCGAAGGCAGTCGCTCAACCAACTGAGCCACCCAGGCGCCCAGGAAGACTTGGTTCTTAAATTCAAGTCTGTAAAGGGTCACAGGACAGGAATCAGACCCCAATTGGTTCTAAGGAGCTAAAGGTGGACCCTTTTAAAAAGGAAAAAAAAAACCAAAAAAACAAAAACCAGCTCTAGAATTTAATGCCCTCACTGGTAATATCAGGAAATAGCTACAGAAAATCCCATAAACTAACAGTTTCAGACCAACAATAACAATGCAACGTTCTCAGCCTTCCTTGCAAAGACAAGCCTTAACTACATAAGTACTTTTTGTGTTCTCAAAACTACCTGTCCGGGGTTTTAAGGAACCCCTGAGATTTCAGTCTCCCTCTAACGAATCAAAGGTCAGCACCAGGGCGGGGCCCCTCACCGAACATGATGTTGTATTCAGAGTCTCCATGCATGTCGGTCTGGTCCAGACCATCTGGAAAGAGCTTCACGTAGCCACCCCCACAGTCGATGTTTTGCTCGTGTTTCACGGTGAACTGCACCACCAGTGTCTGGCCCTTGTTGCTGAAGGGCTCAAATCTGGCCGACAAAGCGTAAAAGCGGGCATCCTGGCTTGTCTGCAGCCCTAGCAGGAGACCACAGTGAGGTCATGGCTCAGCCCCAACCTCCGGGGCTCCTAAGCATTGGAGACACAGAGGACTGCCCCTTCCTCCCCCCTGCCCTGCTGGTGGGGATACCCAGGCTGTGTATGTACAGGGCTTCCTCCAGGAAGTCCTCCTGAATCCGAACACCCACCCGCCTCAGGCCCTTACCTTTATCCTTCTCCTGGTCACCGTAGAACTTGCCGGAACTGAGGACAAATTTACCAAAATCTGACTTGTGTTTGGATTCGATCCAGCGGTCGGTCCACCCGTCTAGGGGATCAAAGGCGCAGGTCAGCGCGGCCGTACTGATCTCTCCCCACCGAATTATCTGCCAGTGGCCTCAAATTGCTGAGGACTGGGAAACAGATACCCCTTGACTGACCCCACCCCATCCTCTAGTTTGACACCTTCGATGGCTTAAGGGCTCCTCCAGCGAATCCTAACTCCTGCCGCAGGAGTCCGCTGCACCCTCGACGCTCCCCAGGGACATGGAAGGGAGGCTCGCCTGCGGCTCTCGTCCCCAGAGGCCATCATATTGGTCCTCTAAGCAGTAATTACAGGGGGACAACGCAGATCTAGGCTGAGGGGCCGCCCTCATCGTTGGGACGGCCTCGAGACGGGACCACGCCTTACCTCCGTCCAGAAACTGCTCCTTGAAGTAGATGGCGGGTTCGGCAGCGGCCAGGCCGAGAAGGCCGAGCAGCAGCGGCACGGGTAGCAGCATGGCGGGCCGAGGGGGCGGCGGCGCGCGGGCCCTTTAAACCTCTCCTCCAGCGGCGGCTCTGCAGTAGGGACAGACGCTACTGCCGGCCGCGCCCTTTTATACCCTACCGCCCCTCAAACCAACCTGGCCCGGCCTCTTGTCCCGCCCTCTGCACCTTATCATTGGCCTGCGGCCACGGCCCTGACTTTCCATTGGACCCTTGTGGTCTGAGCAGGTTAGGCTGTGCCTCGGAACGCAGGGTTCCCAGATGGCCGATTTCTATTGGCCACACAACTGGCCAATGAAGGTCGACCACGCGTTGTGGGGGCCGCCCACCGGTGCGGTGGGGGCCTCCAGCCACTCTGCCCAGGTCATGTGACCAGACCCCGACCCAACCCCGCCCTAGCCCGCGCGCTTAGCTCCTGGTCTGGGCGTTTAAAGAACGCGCGCGAGTGCCGGTATCACCGCGCAGGGCCTGGACCCTGCCCGAGCTCGCCCTCTTTCATTCCTCTGCCGGGAGGTATGGGCAAGGTTTTCCTAACCACTTTCTACTCTGCAGCTGGGGAGCCCCCACTCCGACGCGCTCGCTCTCGCTCTCCCCCGCCCCAGGCCAGGGTGGGGCAAAGGGCACCAGAGCTCAGGGGCTGGGGCCCTGGATCTTCACGTCACCCCAGTGCCACAGCCTTGCAGGCTAGCGAGTAAAGTGCTCGCTCTCTCCTCTCTGGCCCTTAGTGGTCCCTAGTTCCCTGACAGCCTGTCAGACTGCTGCTGTGTGACTGGGGCAAGTCACTTAGCCTCTGAAGTCACAGGAGCCCCTGAGAGGCTAGGAGGAGCAACCGTGGCTAGGTGCCGCCCTACAGAACCGCTTTCAAAGCTGTTGGGGTTGTCCTGGGACAGAGAGTAGGAAGCCTAGAAGGCTAGAAGATGTGACTACTGGCTGTGGCTCCTAGAGTCTGGTAGGGTTGTTCCTCTAACTGCAGCCTCTCCTTTAAACCTCCCGCAGCCGGTAAAGGGGTCGCTGCCTGTGGTCTCCCACAAACGGCCTGGCTTTTGCAACTAAACGGCTGAAGAGGAGAGGAGGGGGGTTCCGTTGGAGAAGTGAAAAACGAGACAGATGGTGGGGAAGATAAAGTCTAAGGGAGATGGGCAGGACCCCTGAGTCTAGAGTCTTCTGAAGCCAGAGGCACGTGACTGACAGTGACTGACACCATCTCCCTGCCCACCCCCCCCCTCAGCTGCAGGAAGCAGGAAGCAGGTCTGGGGGTTTCCCAAATTCTAAGCAAACAGGCCCTGGACCTGTAACATGGAAATGAACTCGGGAAAGGGAGAATCCTGGCAAAAGAGTGGGGGAAGGGGTGCTTCCCTGATAGTAGTGGGGACTCAGAAAAAGGAATGGGGAGTCTTGGAGAAGTTGGGGTTCTGCCCCATACATATCCAGTATCACCCAACCTGCACTCCCTCATGAGGAGCCCCAATTTGGGGTGATCACTCCTGGCCTGCCACTGACCCTCCATTCCACCATAATGTCACGCACACGTGAGCTTGGTGCTTCCTGCTTGAGGGTAGACACTGTCTTACTCACTTCACCATCCCCCAGTGTCTCTTGTAGCACCTGGCACAAAAGAGGCTTAAAACCTACTTGCTGTGTGACAGAAAGAAGGAAAGACTCTTGGAGGAATTAAATAAACTAAGACAAGGGAAGTGTTTTGAAGCTAAGAAGGGACTTGGAGATCCACATACTGAATTTTTATAAGGACCTCACTGTAGGGTCAGGATCGGGTGATCTTAGTAACCCCACTTTTCAGGCTTACATAATTGTGATGGTTAAATGAGTAAAGGTGTTCTGCTTACGATAGTTCTTGTCACATGGTCCACACTCAATTTAGTATTAGCGAGTATGCGTATGTGTGTGGGCAGTATTTCACTTAAATCTCACAATGACCTGGGCTTATATCATCTCTCTCCAGGCAAGGAAACAGGCACAGAAAGATTAAGCGACTTGGCTAAGTGGCATAAATGGGATTAGAATCTACTTGCACTGTCTAATCTCCACTGGCCACATGTGACTATTGACCATTTGAAATGTAGCTGGTCCCAACTGAGATGGGTCATAAGTGTAAAATACGCATCAGATTTTGGAGACTTACTATAAAAAAAGAACATAAAATATTCCATTAGTAATTTTATAATATTGAAATGATAATTTGGACATACTAGGTTTGGTAGATTCTTCAAATTTATTTCATCCATTTTGTTTTTAACATTGCCACTAGAAAATTTAAAATTAGATTTGTGTCTTGCATTATATTTCTACAGGCCAGTACTGATTAGGGTCTCCATTATTGCCCTCACATTGATCTTCTCAGAGCATGCAGGGATTGGGAGTGGGATCTGAAGTGTTTATAGTTTCTGACACCATCTCTACCAACTGCTTGTAGAACCGTGGGGAAGTCATATCACCCTCTGAGCTTCCATTTTCACAACCGTGAAAGGGGGATTATATTAATATTTACATCAAAGTTTTGGAGAAAATGAAGTAACACACCCAAAGCACTTAGTACTGGGCAGAGGACACGAGATGTCCATACAGGTTAGCTGCTATCTTGACTATATTATTAGGTGAGCCCCTCTCCCCTTTATAAATAGGGATGGTCCCTATCTAGCCTCCCTTTAAAAACTTAAAAGTCATTGGTATCAGCGTAATGACTATCTCTGGAGCCCACCACCTACAGCCCTCCTGCAGGCCAAGAGCGAATCCCACAAGGGCAGAGGGCTCCTAGGCTGAGAGAGAGGGAAGTCCAAGGTCACACCGCCTACTTGCTGGAAGTGGGGCTAGATGAAAGTTAAAACACCGCTGCGATTCTGTCCTTGGGGGTCTTCCATTTGGCGTCTCTGGTCAACCAGACACAACTAGTCTAGCTAGGGCGGAGGCGGGCACTGAGTCTCTCCCACCCTCTAAGTTTCAATCGCCACACTGAAGATGGCGTCATCCTGAGCCTCGCCACAGGTCCGCCACACTCAAGATGGCGACACTCTCCCGGCGCCGGTTCCGGTTCCGGTTGTTCAGGCCCCGGCGGGACACGCCGAGCACGCTGGCAGCAGCCATGGCGGACGGCCCGGTGGCGGAGGTGCTGCTCCGGCAGCTAGAGGCGGCCGATGGCGGCCTGGACAGCGCGGACCTGGCAGCTAAGCTGGGCGTGGACCACCAGGCCGTTGTGGGCGCGGTGAAGAGCCTGCAAGCGCTGGGCGAGGTGAGTCGGATCCGTGATGCCGGGCCTCCTCGCTTTTGCACCTGAAGTCCCCTTGTCCGAAGGCCCTGCCTGCTGAAGAACCCTTCGGGTGTCCAGCCTGGGGTGCACAGGCAGGGACTCGGCAGCAAGTGAGAGCCCAGAAGCACTGACGTTCTGCGCTCAGTGAATGTCCATTGAGACATGGTAGGCATCAGGGAGGGCACGATGGTGGACAAGGGAGACCCGGTTGCTGCCCTCAAGAAGGAGGTTGCGGTCTAATGAGGGAGATACTCAGGTGACTCTCAGAGCGATAGAGGAGGTACAGGGAACCCAGAGGTGACAGCTGGCCCAGGCTTGGGAGTCAAGGAGAACGTCCTGGAAGAGGTGACGGCTGAGTCGGGCCTCTGCGCTGAGGAGGAAAGCTCCAGGGAACAATGGCAGGAACGGGAAACAGGTGTAGAAAGGCATTAGTAGAGCCAAAATTTGCAAGGCCTTGTAGGTCTTTATCTCACGGGGGTACTGGAGAGCCATGGCAGGAGCTGGAGGCAGTCAGATGTGTGTCCTGTCTGCATCACTTTGGGAAAGGATTGGCAGGGGCAGGACTGGCGGTGAGGGGAGGAAGGCAGAGGTTGGCACATCCCCAAGCTAGAGGGCCTGGTGTCTAGTTGTAGGGAGGCGGGTGGAATGGAGAGAGGATTCAGGAGAGGGAATGAAAGGAGATTTCATGGCAAGGCAGGGAGAGCAGGGATGAAGCCCAGCCTTTTTGACTTGGACAAGTAAAAGGTGATAGAGTCATAGGAGGAAGATTCGGAGAGGCCTATGGGCCACCCAGGAGGCTGGATCCTCGGGGCTACAAATCAGAAAACATAACTGGGCTGCATATTCATCAAGCTCATGTTCTGTGCCCCACTTTGGTCTCGGCTTTATTCATTATCTAGTCCTTGTCATTACCCCGGGATGGTAGCACTGATATCTCCGTTTTGCAGACTGGACACCTTCTGAGCACTGGTCAGTAACTTGATCAGTGTCACTAGAAGGAACAGGCAAACGTGGATTTGAAATTAAGCGTTCAGGCTGCAGAGCCTGAGGTCATCAGTGCAGAGAGGGCCTTGGGTGTGGGGTGTCAGTACCTTGGTTGATGTGAAATTGACTTGTGTTGGTCACAGAAGGTTAAATAGTGGCTATTTATTGTGGCTCGGCCTAACACAGTGATGGTAACGAAACAGTCTATGTCCTTTCCATATGTTAATTCAGTAATTACTCAAGAAAACTTCTTGGGGTAGAGCCCATCACACCTTTCTCTTACTGATAAGAAAACTTGTTCAGGGAAGTTAAGCAACTTTGCCAAGTTCACACAGGGAGTGAGGAGCAGAGCTGGGGATTAGAGTGGAGAGGGAGCTAAGTCCCGTGGGCCCCACCCAACCTTGCTCCTCTGTGCACGACCTGAACCCATCCTCATCATGGAGCCTTGGATTCCTGTGTGTATTGGGGACCTGGAGGCCCTTTGCTGACACGCTGGGCACTGAGATGCAAACACGTTAAATGTGGAGACGAATCAGTTCACTTGGGGCCTTAAAATCTTTCTCAGGTTCAAAAGCAATAGAAAGAACTAATTTTCTGCTAGGTACCATTCTTAGTACTTTACTTCACCCTGGGAGATGTGAGTCGTCTCTGTCATTATCGTTGTGTCACAGAAGGGAAACTGAAGCTCGGCGAGGGGTACTCACTCAGCTGGGAAGTGGTGCAGCTCAGATGTAAAGCTGGCTTCAGGGACACCTGAGTGGCTCAGTCGTTAAATGTCTGCCTTCAGCTCGGGTCATGATCCCAGGGTCCTGGGATCGAGCTCTGCATCGGGCTCCCCACTCTGCGGGAGGCCTTCTTCTCCCTCTCCGACTCCCCCTGCTTGTGTTCCCTCTCACTGTATGTCTTTCTGTCAAATAAATAAATAAATAATCTTTAAAAAAAATAAAGCTGGCTTCAGGCGCTGTGCAACCCAAGTGCTGTGGTGAGGGCGTGCTTGGCTCTGAACCCTGTCTCTGCGGGTCTTCCCTCCCCCATTTCCCTGCAGATCATTGAGGCTGAGCTGCGCTCCACCAAGCGCTGGGAGCTTACTGCTGAGGGCGAGGAGATGGCCCGGGAGGGCAGCCATGAGGCCCGGGTGTTTCGCAGCATCCCCCAGGAGGGCCTGGCCCAGAGCGAGCTCATGGTAAGGTCCTAGGGGCGAGGCCTAGGGAAGCGATGGGGCAAAGGGGCCCTCATGCTCCGCTCACTGTGGCCTCACTCCCCCAGCGACTGCCCAGCGGCAAGGTGGGCTTCAGCAAGGCCATGTCCAACAAGTGGATCCGTGTGGACAAGAGTGCAGCCGATGGGCCCCGGGTGTTCCGAGTGGTGAGTCCCTGCAGGTGGGGGTGGCAGGCAAGCAGGGGGGCCCCCGGCCCTCTCAGTAGCCTCTCACACCCGTCATCATGGCAGGTGGACAGCGTGGAGGACGAGGTGCATCGGCGGCTCCAGCTGGTCCAGGGTGGACAGGTTGAGAAGCTGGGTGAGAAGGAAAGGAGTGAGCTCAGGAAGAGGAAGCTGCTGACTGAAGTGTGAGTGGGTGCCCTCCCCTTCCGTCCCATATCACCCACTTGATCCTAGTGATTGGGGGGACGGAGTCACCCCGCCCAGACTGGGCCACAGTGCTGTCAGCGTCCTCCCAGCTCTGCTTTACCATGTTGTTGTCAAGAGCTCGTGCCAGGCTCATGCCACCTCAGGGCCTTCGCTTATGCCGTGACTTCTGCCGAGAATGGTCTTCCCTTAAGCCAGGCTTGGGCATCAAACCTCTGCCTGTGTGTCACCTTAAAGAGGCCATTCTGACACCCCCCTCTCCCTTTGAGTTCCATAAAAGCTGCTCGCTTCTACTCTCCATACCAGTGCCGTGTTTATTTCCTTTACAGCTCTGATTTCAGGGTCTGAAATTTACTGAATGGCGGGACCTGGACAGGCCTAGGGCTCTTCTCTCACAGGGCTGATGTACCCTTTGAGCAGATACCAAGTGGCATAACGGTTATGAGGACACAGGCTGGAGGGGGGCTGCCCAGTCCAGGTCCTGGCTCTGGCACTTATCAGTTGTGTGACCTTGGCTAAGTCGCCTGATCTTTCTGGGCCTCAGTTTCCTCATCTGTAAAATGGCCTCTTTTTCACAAGGTAGTGGGATGATTTCAGTGGAATAGAGCCTGCCGGCATGGAATAAATCCTTAAGAGTCTACCTATTATTCTTGCTCAGCTGTATGCTTATTACCTTGAGTAGACCCTGGCACATAGTAGATTCTCATTAAGTATTTGTTAAACGAGTAAGTGAGCGACAGAGGGATGTGAGTGTGGGCTAAATAAGAGAATTTCAGGTGATGATGAATGTCAGGAGGAAAATAAAGCAGAGTGAGTTGGTGGCTGGTGTTGGGGTCAGCATCAGCTGGGAAATAGGGAAGCCTCTTGAAGGAGGTGACAGTGGCGTCCCCTCTCCCTCTCTGGCCGCAGGACCTTGAAGACCTACTGGGTGAGCAAAGGCAGTGCCTTCAGCACCAGCATCTCCAAGCAGGAGACAGAGCTGAGCCCAGAGATGATCTCCAGGTAGGGGGTGACCCCAGGAATGGGGCAGGTCGAGGAGGAAGGACAGCCCTCACCAGGCCCACGTACCTTGCATCCCCCAACAGCGGCTCCTGGCGGGACCGGCCCTTCAAGCCGTACAACTTCTTGGCCCATGGCGTCCTCCCAGACAGCGGCCACCTGCATCCTCTGCTCAAGGTCCGCACGCAGTTCCGGCAGATCTTCCTGGAGATGGGGTGAGCACGGGGCCGGGGGTGGGGCTGGCCCAGCCACTGGGCACAGGCAGGGCAGTCAGGCCGCATCTCCCTCCAGGTTCACAGAGATGCCGACTGACAACTTCATTGAGAGCTCCTTCTGGAACTTTGATGCACTTTTCCAGCCCCAGCAGCACCCGGCGCGTGACCAACACGACACCTTCTTCCTCCGAGGTAGGTGGAACTGGCCGCACCATCCAGAACTTTTTGGAGTGTCCTACTCAGTTTACAGAATAAACTCCATTCTCGGCGTGGCCAGCCGGGTCGGTGTGAGCTGGTCCCGGCGACCTCTGTGACCTCCTCCCATGTCCCCTCCTGCCCACTTCATGGCCCTTGCCTGTGCTGCCGGGCAGTTCTCTGCCAAGAACCATCCTCTCCCAGATCTTCAAGGCTGGCTCCTCCCAGATCGTCAAACCTCTGCCGACAGGTTACCTCACAGAGGCCACCTTGACATGCCCTTGCCCCCCTGAATTCTAAAAGTCCCTCATCTCTAGTCTTCAGCGTGGTTTCCGATTTTTCCTTTCATTTACTGTGTTTAGTACTGTCTGAAATTGAATGACTTTTCACAATGGTTGTTATTATCTAACACCCACCGCCCCCGCCCCGAGGCAGGGGAGGCCAGGGGTTGCCGGTTACCTGGCCTGGCCAGGAACAACGATGGCATTGTTATCATTGTCATGGCACCCAAAACTTACTAAGTTCTCACCGTACACCAGTCTCTGTTCTAATTCCCCTGCCGACTGTAGGAAGTAGCACTGTTCGCTCTCTTTTACAAAGGAGGATACTGGGGCTCAGGGAAGGAACATCACTGGCCCTGGGTCACACAGGTTAAACGTGGTGGAGCTGGGATTTGGTGTCAAGCTTTTCAGGTGCACCAAAATTAATGTTTCTGGAAAGGGATCTTAAGAATTCACACATTCACGCAACAAATGGTTGCTAAGCCCTTCCTGTGTACCAAGGTCTTTGTTAAACATCTGGGTTACAGCCCTGAATGAAACATGAAGTCCTTGCCCTGGTGAGACCTGTGTCTGGTGGGATAGATATTTATTAAATCCTGAGTCGTATGCAAATGCAGTAATGCAAGATGGCAGTAAACACAGTGGAAACTGGCATGAAAGGGGAAGAGGCTGTCAACTTAAAATCAAGTCTTTGTTTACGTAAAGGCCAAAGGAGGTAAGGGAGAGAACCATATATGGGAAGGAAAGTTACAGGAGGGAAAGGCCTGTGCAAAGGCCCTGAGGCTGTAATGTGCCTGGTATGCTCACAGATAGCTGGGAGGCCCTGTGACTGGAGGGAGTGAACAACTAGGAACTGGCAGTGACAGGACAGGGTGGCCAAAAAGAGCTTTTTTTTTTTTTTTTTTAAATTTTTATTTATTTGACAGACAGCGAGAGAGGGAACACAAGCAGGGGGAGAGGGAGAGGGAGAAGCAGGCTTCCCGCAGAGCAGGGAGCCCAATGCAGTGCTCCATCCCAGGACCTTGGATCATAACCTGAGCCGAAGGCAGATGCTTAACGACTGAGCCACCCAGGCGCCCCCAAAGAGAGCTTTGTCTCCACCTCCCGCCCCCACACCCAGGGAGATGGAGGGTTCTGGGCAGAGGGAGGATGTGACTGACTTGGGTGTTCCTGGGCACCCCCTGGCTGCTGTGGGTGGCAAGGATGGGAGCTGCACATGTTGCTGTCCTCAGTGCAGTGGCTGTTTGAGAAATGCTCCTTCACTGACCAAATGATGCTCTGTTTTGCCCAGATCCAGCTGAGGCCCTGCAGCTCCCAATGGACTACGTCCATCGGGTCAAGCGGACCCACTCTCAGGGTGGCTACGGCTCACAGGGGTGAGGCAGGACTCGGACTTTGCAGTGTAAGGCGGGGGAGAAGGTTGGGGGGTCTGAAGGCCACAACGCGGACTTCCTATTTGTTCTCCTGAAGGTACAAGTACACGTGGAAGCTGGAGGAGGCCCGGAAAAACCTGCTGCGCACGCACACCACGTCGGCCAGCGCCCGTGCCCTCTACCGCTTGGCCCAGAAGGTGCAGCTCAGCCCAGGCAGTGGGGGAGGCAGGGGGCCGTCCTACTGACCTTCTGACCTCCTCCCGGGCCTGGCCCGCCTGTCACTCCCAGAAGCCCTTCACACCAGCCAAGTACTTCTCCATTGATCGCGTGTTCCGAAACGAGACCCTAGACGCCACACACCTGGCCGAGTTTCACCAGATTGAGGGCGTGGTGGCTGACCATGGCCTCACCCTAGGCCACCTCATGGGCATCCTGCGGGAGTTCTTCACCAAGCTGGGTAGGCAGGCAGGCTGCAGTGGGAGGTGCTAGCGGAGCCATGGGAGGATGCCATGCCTCCAGGCTTATCCTCCACCCCTCTGCTCACCCGCCTCCCCTGCCCAGGTATCACCCAGCTGCGCTTCAAGCCGGCCTACAACCCCTACACGGAGCCCAGCATGGAGGTGTTCAGCTACCACCAAGGTCAGGGTGGAACCTGGCACTGGGATGGGGAGGGATGTCTCAGGCTGCCCACAGCTAAGCCTGGGTCCCTGTCACTGCCAAGCCTACTCCCAAGATCACTGCCAGACCCAGTGTCATCCACACAACCTGCCCTATCCTTCTCCCACCCCCATAGGCCTGAAGAAGTGGGTGGAAGTCGGGAATTCTGGGCTTTTCCGCCCTGAGATGCTGCTGCCCATGGGGCTCCCCGAAAACGTGTCAGTCATTGCTTGGGGCCTCTCCCTGGAGCGGTGAGTGCCTAAGCCACTTAGTGTGTCTGGCTGTCACACAGGTGACTTGCTGGGCATGGGGGCCTGCAGACCTTCAGCCCCATCCGTCTGTTCTTCATTTGACAAGCCTTTTAGTGAGCGTCTGCTATATGCTCGGTCCTGTGCTAGGAGTAGGATAGCACACATCCCTGCCTCTGCGATGCTGGGCTCGTAGTGCAGTGAGAAAGATGGCAATTAGCAAGACAAATAAGTAAATTGAACAAATGAAGTTCAGAGTGTGTCTGCAGCCAGCAAATGCTATAGAGAGAACACAGTAGGGAGGGCTAAGGAGACAGGGTTGTCAGGGAAGGCTTCAAGGAGGAGGTAGTATCCGAGCAAAGACCGGAGGCAGGTGAAATCACGGGTAAGCTGGGGGCACATCTGCGGAAGGGTGTTCCAGGCAGCAGGAACACCCAGTGCAAAGACCCAGAGGTAAGCATGTATGTGATGTATTTGGAGAACATGGAGGAGGCCAATGTGGCTGGAGAGGGGGAGTAGGTAGAGTGGGAGGAGATGAGGGTGGGGAAGTGACAGGACAGATCACTCAGGACCTTGTGAGCCCCGGGAACAACCTGGGCTTTTAAGGAGGTGGGAACCATCAGAGAGGGCCTGATCAGAGGAGAGCGCAACCTGACTGAGTGTTAAAACTGTTTTCCTCCCTCCCCCCCCCCACCAAGCCCAACAATGATCAAATACGGCATCAACAACATCCGGGAGCTGGTGGGCCACAAGGTGAACCTGCAGATGGTGTATGATGGTCCCCTGTGCCGCCTGGACGCCGAACCGGGGCCCCCACAGACACAGGGCGCCGCGTGACATGGACCACCCTGGATAGCCTGCCTTCCCTGAGCCCCAGCTGTCCAGCCCTCTAGCATCCCTGCCAGTGACCCCCTTGTATTTATAAGGCCTCTGTGAGGCCATCCCCCTCACCCCCACCCCTCGTATCTCTTCCGTACCTGCCCCAAGGTCCCAGGGGCAGAGTAGCAAGTAGCAGGTTCGATCTATGAAGGTGGGCCCTAGGGAGCCCTGCAGGCCAGCTGCTGGCTAATAAAGTGGGCAGTTGTCCTCATATGGTGCCTTTCCTTAGGGATGGAGGAGTGCTAGAGCCCTGGGTATGAGGAGTGGTGGGTTAGGGGTCCTGGATCCTCGGGAGCTCCTGGCTTGCCTGAACCAACCCCTTGGGGAAGACTAGCTCCATCAAGCATTTACCCATCACCTGGTGGTGCCAGGCTCTCCTCTAGATGAACAGAAGTCCCCATCCCTGGGGAAGGGGCATATGGGAGGGGAAGGCCAAGGCAGGTGCCACAATTCCCCCTGGGAGCCAGGCATGGTGGGGTGACAGCGCGGGGGGACAGCTTTAATAAAACAAGTTTTTTTTTAAGCATTTCATTAAAGCTGCCCCGTTCCCCCTTTTTAAAAAAAAGAGCAATTTCTGGTTCACAGCAAAATTGAGTGGAAGGTATAGAAATTTCTCATATACCCTCTGCCCCCACGTCACATGCACAGCCTCCCCACCATCAACATCCCCACCAGAGGGGTGCATTTCTTACAATGAGTGAACTACATAGACACATCCTAATCGCCTCCACTTCATGGTTTACGTTGTGGTCCACGCTCTGTGTTGTACATTCTCTGGGTTTGGGCAAACGTGTGATGATGTGTGTCCGTTGTTCTGGTATCACAGTATTTTCGACGCCCTAAAAGTCCTTTGTGCTCCCACCCACTCATCCCTCCATCCTCTCCCTAAAAAGCCGCTCTTTTTTTAAAAAATGGTCTCCTGAGAATTTCACGGGAGCTCAGAGGAGGAAGATGAGTAGGATAGAGCTTCATGAACCCACGTTGAACATGAGTGGGATCTCTATTTCTGTGAAAATTTTAAAGCAACTCTCAGTCTCCATGTTGCTCACCCCATGTCTTCAGGGTCAGCGCACTTTTGGAAACGTAAACAGTTCTTCTAGAACCATGAGGTCACCGTTATAGCCAGCACAGTCGGCAGCTGAGGCTGTGGGCTTCTCTAGGCCCTGGGTGTGGGGGCACCAATCTCCCAAGGGCTACTCGGTTGATTTTTTTTCTGTATTTCAAATTAAATAATTCAGTCATACAGAAAAATACTCGTTCTTGCAACAAATGTGCACCTCCTGAGTGCCAGCAGCGTGCAAGCTGAATGAAGACTCAGCAGTGGGCAAAGCTGACTCAGGTCCCTGCCCTTGGGAGCGGACCTGGGGGAAAGGGAGTACGCTGGAGACATAGATAAGTACAGAAATGGAGGGAGGGGTAAAGTCACAGAAAAGGGAAGGTGGGTGGGGAAGGTTAAGTGTATATAGCATAAACTAACACAACAAGCACTTAGGAATCCATCCCCAGTTGGATCAAATCTGAGCATGGACTATATTTGTTTTGGATCTTACGCATCTTAGATCTGTGACTAATGGTTTGAAGACCCTATGGGCTTGTCCTAGTTCCTTTTGGCAGCACCCCACTGAGATTGCTCCCTCCTGAATGTGGTGTTTTCTCTTTCTCATGTGTTTTTAAACTTTTGCTACTACATATTTTACTTCAGCAAGTTTGATTTTGCTTATTTTCAGAAGTTATACAGACCCTGCACCATAAAAAAAAAAATCGTCCATATTGTGTGTTGCTTTTGTTTCTTTTCAATGTGTATGTGTGCATGTGCGTGTACGCGTGTGCTTACCAGTGAATCTTGAGATTTTTCTCATAAATAATCTTCAAATCTGATGCTGCAGGAATGTACATTTTGTTTACATTGTGGCTTTGCCACAAGATACTAATGTTAGCTGCTGTTTATTAAACTCTGTGTTCTAGAAGTTTATCTCTGCAACCCTTACAATAGTCTGATGTTTTAGATTTTATTGCCTCAGTTACAGGCAAAAATGGATTTTGAGAATGAGTGGCAGTTTTATGCCCCGCCCCCAGCCCCTCTCGCTGGTAAGAGACCGGATTCAAACCACATTCTCCAGAATGTAGTGTCAACATGGGTGCTCCGGTCATTGTGTGACAGGCGACAAAGCCCTGCACAGGATTCCTGCTGCCTCTCCCACATGGACGCTGACCAGTGAATTGGAGCAAAACCCCAACCTCTTGCTTTGGCCCCCTGCCCAACTTTGATCCTTCACCCACAGCTATCCCCATTCCCTGTTCTCCCTCCCCACCAGGCCCGGCTTCTCCTTAAGCACACTAAGTTTGCTTCCACCTCAGGACTTTTGCACACGCCTATTCAAATCTTTTGCCCATTTTTAAGTTGGGTTGTCTTATTATTGAGTTGTACGTGTTCTTTGTAAATGCTGGCTGTAAGTTCTCAGATACATGTTTAGCAATATTTTCTCCCAGTCTGTGGCTCCTCAGGTGACAATTATTATTGTTACTATTGAGGCATTATTGTTATTACTACTATTAGTAAGGGATATGGGCCCAACTCTAAAGGCCAGACCCGCCATGCTTTTAAGGAGCTACCAGTTTTAGAGCGCACAGGTAACTGATTCAAGGTGATACTGCATAAATTTTTTCACTGAAGACAACAGGTCATAATCAAGAACAGCAACGGCCAGGATTTTTTATTGCAAGGACTTCTTGGGGCTCAGCGCAGATGAACTGAAATCTAAGAATTAACGCAAAGACCGCTCGATTCCCCCAACCCACGTCTGGGCCGGGATCCTCCCACATGGGCACGCACACGCACATAGACCACCCCTTCCTCCGGGCGGCGCCGGCTGCGCACGCAGCCTCTGGGACAGCCCAACCGCCGGTTAACGGCCAGCTCCGCCCCGCTGCGCGAGCAAGTTCTCAAAAAGAGGCGGGACCAGGAGCACGTGATGCAGCACGTGCGCGGGGGCCGTGCGAACCGGGGGGCGGGGCCAGCGCGTGCGCAGAGAGCTCGAAGGAGAAGGCGGGAAAAGACAGGATGGAGCGACAGGGAGTAAGCGACGCTTGTTTCTCTTCGCGAGGCGGGCGGCGGGTGGCGGGCGGACGGGCGGGGAACGGCCGCGATCTCGGGCTTCCCTGGTGGGCCCTAACCCAGCCGTTTGTCTCCTGCCATCGGGGCCACCCCTCGCCTGGCCGGGTCCCGATTTCCTGACTGACTGACCAGGCCCTGACTGACGGACGGGACTGTGTGACCGACACGCTGACAGCCCGGGCCAGAAGGACAGACTCCCACGCATGGCTCGTGGCAGGAGCAGGGTAGACAAAGGCTCCGATATCCATGCGCCGCACCCTTTTCTTCTTTTTCTCCTACCTCTTCGCCTTCCTCGGAGGACTCGAGCCGCCGCACATACCAGTCAGGAGCCCAGCACCCCTCCCGGCGCCTCTGCCCTCACCCCCAGCCCCTCCAGGTCTCCCCGCCTCTGTACTCCAGCGCTCCAGGCGCAGGCCCTCCCACCACACGTCCCCGACCTCATGGTGCCTGTCCCTGCCCCGTGCGCCTCTCCTGGGGGTCCCCGGCCTTTCGGAGCGGCACACGGAGGTGCCCGGGGCCGAAGGGGCAGTGGGAGGGTATCTGACCCCTTCTCGCCCTTCCCTCTCTGGCCTCTCAAGCGCTGGCTGTGCTCACAGGTGGACATGCCCCACGTAGAATGCAAGGACCAGCAGCCGCAGCCGCTGGGGGAGAGCAAGGAGCGGCAGCAGTGCGAGGAGAGCCGCGAAGACGAAGCCGGTCGGGGGTCAGCTAGGTGAGGAAGCACCCTGCAGGACGGGTCCACACAGACCCCTGGGTCCTTCTCGTTCACCCGGTTCTTCCACGAGACGCTGCCAGTCTGCTGTGGGTGCATTTGCTCCACGTACTGGTCAGGCATCTGCCATGTGCGTGGCATGGTTCCAAGTACTAGGACACAACAGTGAGCTGACACTCTAGAGGAGGAGACAGACTGTAAACTCGGGAATATATAGTAGTCAGGAGATGCTAATGCAGTGTGGGGGCCGGTGGTGGGGGCAGGGGTGGAATAGGGAGAGAGCGCCAGTTTAGATCAGAGGGTTAGGGAAGCCTTCGTGGAGGAGGTGACGAGTGAACCATGAGGCAGAACTATGCTCTAGACAGAGGAACAGCACCTACAAAGTCTGGGAGGAGGACTGTGCTGGAGGAGCCAAAGAGGGTGATAGTAAGAGATACAGTCAGACAGGTAATGGGACTTTGGGTGTTAACTACCCATGAAAAGGTTTGGAATAGAGTGACATGGCAAGGACTATTGTTAATGAAGTTTTATTGGAATGTAGCCACGCTTGTCTATGGCTGCTTCTACAGTCAAGTTTTTGCAACTGAGACTACAGAACCCACAAAGCTGAAAAGATTTACTATCTGGCCCTTTATAGAAGTTTGAAGTCCTCTGGACTAAGGTTAAAAGCCTCCCTCTGGCTTCCATATAGAGAATAGATTGTTGAGGGCAGGAGTAGAAGCTGAGTACCAGTGAGGAGGCAATTGGAATCATCTAGGTGCAAGATGACTCCAATTTGGCCCATGGTGGATCTATTGAGGTGATGAGAAGTCAGATTCTGGATATATTTAAGAAGGTAGAACTGACAGAAATTGCTAATGGATTAGTTGTTGGAGTTGAAAGAGCAGCATCAAGGATGACAAAAAAAGTTTTTGTCTTGTACATTTATTTATTCACCAAATATATCTTGAGGGTCTGCTTTGGCCAGACCCTGATGAGGAGCATGCAGCAGTGAACAAATCAGAATTTCTGCTCTCTTGGAGCTTGCTTTCTTTCACTTAGCAGTATGCACTTAAGGTTCCTCTATATCTTTTCATGGCTCATTTCTTTTTAGTGCTGAAAATATTCCATTGGGGGTGCCTGGGTGGCTCAGTCGGTTAAGCGACTGCCTTCAGCTCAGGTCATGATCCTGGAGTCCCCGGATCGAGTCCCGCATCGGGCTCCCTGCTCAGCGGGAAGTCTGCTTCTCACTCTGACTCTCCTCCCTTTCGTGCTCTCTGTCTCTCATTCGCTCTCTCGCAAATAGATAAATAAAATCTTTAAAAAAAAAAAAGAAAGAAAATATTCCATTGTCTGGATGTCCCACAGTTTGTTTATCCATTCACCTACTGAAGGACATCTTGGTTGCTTCCAAGTTTTGGCAGTTCTGAATAAAGCACTTTAACATTCTTGTGCAGGTCTTTGTGTGGACTCAAGTTTTCAGTTCCTTTGGGTAAATAGCAAGGAGCACCATGGCTTGATCATGTGATAAGAATATATTTAGTTTTGTAAGAAACTGCCAAACTGTCTTGCAAAGTGGCTGTGCCTGTCATCAATGAAAGAGAGTTCCTGTTGCTCCACATCCTTGTCAGCACTTGATGTTATCAGTGTTTTGGATTTTCACGATTTTAATAAGTGTGTAGTAGTATCTCATTGTTGTGTTGATTTGCAGTTTCCTGGAGAGATATGAAGTTACACATCATTTCATATGTCTATTTGTCATCTGTATGTCTTTTCTGGGGAGGTGTCCAGATTTTTTGCCCCTTCTTTAATCAGGTTGTTTGTTTCCATATTGTTTTTAAGAGTTCTTTGTATATTTTAAATACTTGTACTTTATCAGGCATGTGTTTCACAAAGATTTCCTCCCAGTTTGTGGCATATCCTTTCTTTCTGTTGACGGAGTGTTTTGCAGAGCAGAAGTTTTTAATTTTAATGAAGTCCAACTTATCGATTTTTCTGTTGATATTATATCTAAGATGGTCCTCTAGATTTTTTTCCTATGATATCTTCCAGGAGTTTGATAGCTTTGTGTTTGACATTTAGGTCTGTGCTACATTTTGAGTTAGTTTGTGTGAAAGTATGAGGTCTGTGTCTCATTCTTCTGTCCACGGCTGTCCAGTTATTTCAGCACCCTTTGTTGAAAAGACTCCTTTCTCCAGTCAATTTTCTTTGCTCTTTTGTCAAAGATCTGTTGACTATATACATGTGGGTCTATTTCTGGGCTCTCTATTCTGTTCCATTGATCTTTTATCTATTCCTATACCAGTACCACACCACCTGGATCACTGCAGCTTTATAGTAAGTCTTGAGGTCAAGGAACATCAGTCCTCCAACTTTGTTCTTCTACTTCAATATTGTGTTGGCTATTCTGGGTCTATTGCCAAGCTGATTTTCTAAAAAAGAGAGATAGACAATAATAATAACAATAAAATAATGTGATTTCAACTGGTGGCAAGTGCTGTGAAGAAACAAAATAGAGTACAGAGCAACTAGAGTGATAGGGAGTTTAGAGTAGTTAGAGAAGAGCTCTAAGGAGGTTACATGACAAGGAGCAGCCAGGAAGTCTCAGGGGGCCCAGATATGCTAGGCAGAGTAGAAGTCTCTGAGATATGAATAAGCTTGGTGTGATCACAAAACAGTCATAAGATCAGCATATCAGTATTTTGATTGGATGCAGAGGGATACCCTAAGTCCACGGGACAGATGCACTCATACCCTCCCAGTGCTTCCATTTGACCGAGAGGCAGATACTTACATGTACTGACACAGAAGAGATTGGGGTGCTGGGAAAACATTTCCCCTGGGGGCAGCCAGCCCCGAATGGGGAGCCAGAGACAGCGCCCTTGAAGAAGCAATGCTGAATCAAAAGGTAAGGGAGAATGGATGTTGAGTGGCCATGGGGGTGGGGGGAAGGGCTGAGAAGAGTTTATGGGAAGGTCCTCTGGCTCAGGGAGCTAAAGGCAGGCCAGTATGGCTGGGTGTGGTTGTGAGTGGAAGAGGAGCACTGGACGGCTTGGCAGAGGCCAGGTCACAGGGCGTTTTGTCAGCTATGGGCTTTATTAAGAGGACTTTTTTGGTAATAGCTTGAGATAGAATTCACATACTATACAATTCACCAACCTAAAATGTATAATTCAACTGTTCTTAGTACATTCAAAGAGCTGTGCAACCATCACCACAGTCAACTTTATAACATTTTCATCACTCCAAAAAGAAACCTTGCACCCCTGACCATCATCCCCCATGTCCGCATGGTGTCTGCCTCTTCCCCAGCCCCTGGTAACCACTACTTTCTGTCTCTATGCATTTGCTTCTGCTGGACATTTCATATAAGCAGAATCATACACTTATGTGGTCCTTTGTGACTGGCTTCTTTCACTGAGCATAATGTCTTCAGGGTTTATCCACATTGTAACATGTATCAGAACTCCATTACTCTATATGGCTGAATAATATTCCATATTATGGACGCACCACGTTTTACTTACCCATTCATTGGTTGATGGACATTTGAGTTGTTTGCGTTTTGGTTCTTGTGAGTAATGCTGCTGCGAATATCCATGTATGAATTTTGGCATAGACATACATTTTCATTTCTCTTGGGTAGATACCTAGGAGGCGAATCACTGTGTCAGAGAAGTGCCATGTTCTGGTTCCTGTTTTTATTTTTTTATTTTTTATTTTTTTTAAAGATTTTATTTATTTATTTATTTGAGACAGAGAGAATGAGATACAGAGAGCATGAGAGGGAGGAGGGTCAGGGGGAGAAGCAGACTCCCTGCCGAGCAGGGAGCCCGATGCGGGACTTGATCCCGGGACTCCAGGATCATGACCTGAGCCGAAGGCAGTCGCTTAACCAACTGAGCCACCCAGGCGCCCCCTGGTTCCTGTTTTTAAAAGACACTGGCTGCTTTGTGGAGAATGGGTGGGAGCGGGCATGAGTGGACATGGGGAGATCGGGTGGGAGGCTCCTGTGGGGGGGGTAGCATCTAGCAGAGCAGACGGAGAGAAACTTTTATGGGGGTGGGGATCATTTAGTGAGGCATGAGGAAGGGGATGAACCGAGGATCTCTCCCGGCTAGTGTGCTACCAAACGGAAAAGGCCGGTGTGTTAGGCATTGTGATTGGCAGCAGGGATACCCCTGCTGTGTTGTGCTGGAGCGGGCTCCTCCCAGCTCACAAGAGCCAGTTCTACACATCTCTTCCCAATATAGCATTTAGCCATTTTATGTTGGTAGCTTGAAATTGGCTATAGTGGGAGTTTGCACCATGGAAATTGGCAAACACTACAAATCAGGCCTTTTTTCTCCCCCACGGAGAGCCACTTGCTAAATGTTTACTAGCACACCTCTTTCTCCCCACTTTGGACTGGTTTCCAGCAAGTAATGGTTTCCGTGGCAGAGGCAAGAACATGAGTTCCATTTTGCCCTTATTGAGCTTGAGGTGACTGGAGACATGCATATGAACATGTCCAGCATACAGTTGGACTTGCTGACCTGGAACTCAGGATGGGACAAGGGGCTGGAGATGGCACCGTGGGAGTCACTGTTTCAGTGGCAGCTGTGGGGTGAATGAGCTCACCTGGGGAAGGAGTGAGACAAGGCCAGGCTCAGGACAGGGCCCTGAGGACTCTAGGTATAAAGCCAGCTTCCCCCGACCTCCAGATTCCTCAGTTGTAAAGCAGACTACAAGGTGGAATGGTTTCTAGGTGTGTACTATCAATTGGAGACCAGAAAAAAGAAGGAAATGACTGCAGTCATTTGTTTGATATCATCTTCCTGCAAATAGGGTGTTCAGACCTGGATATAAGTGGCAAAGAGACATAGACAATTACATATTAAAGACTTCAAGGAGTTCCACTAGAGCTTTGGGCTGAAAAAACAGATGGATTAGAACCAGTGCAAGGGCCAATTAATAGATTCAGCAGCAGACACTCTGCGACATGATTAAAATGTGAACACATTTCGGGAAAGAAAAGCAGA